AAAAAACATTCGTGTCATGCCAAACAGTCTAGGCCCTCACCTCTGCCCTTACTGCTTGTCCTCGTGCCTTCCAGTGCAGCTCCTCCCAGCTCTATTTCCTGTTGTGTCGCCTTGGCGCTCTCAAAACACTGCTCACCAGGTACTGCAACCCTGTCGTTCTCTGCGTTTTCAGGGTGGTCTCCAGAGCCTCGGCATAGTTTGTGCTCTCCTTAGTTTTAGTGGTTTTTGCTTGCTTGTAGTGTGAGCGCATGCTTGTCGGGAAGCATGTTGACACAGCCCAGTACAAACGCCCAAGCTTTGCGCTGGTTATTTGCCTTTTGTTGTATCCATAAAGCTCGTGTTTATGCTGGTGATTCGACCACTTTGCGGGTCCTCAACGCTCTTGGTGCATTGCTGAATAATTACCACTTGGTGCATTGCTGAATAATTACCACTGCTCATCACCTCATGTGGTTGCACGGTGGTTTCCAGAGGTTCCGGATAGTCCACACGCAACTGAGGGTGAGATATTGTCCTCCAGTGTTTGGTTGTCTCACCGAGGTTGGCTGTAAGTTGTTGCATGGTCCCTCGAGACGCCACAACCGTAGTGGAGGCACAAATTTGCTGGGTTTTCGCTGTTTGATGTCCTCTGTCGATCCGTAGAGCTTATGTTCATACCACTCAACCATTCGGGCTGCGGCACCTCGACGCTGTTGATGCAGGACTCACCAGTTGTTAACTAAATTGTATGCTTTTGGGCTACACAGGTTCATAGCTTGTATTGCCTGAACCCTTGCTGTTGCGAGGTGAGTTTCAGAGTTTCGACATGCTACACAACTGACAGTGTAGGATCTTGCAGGGCTCTGATGTGACGCAATTCGAAATGCACTGACGTTTTTTTTGCTCTGGCTGTGCTGTGAGAGTCGTCATGGATTTATTTGCGTGCAAGAGCATAGTCCGGATGCTGACAGGAAAACACGAAAGATGCCGTAAACTGTCAGGCGTTTCTTGCTTCTGGTCAGTCTGAGCAATGACGCGGCCTTGCCTAAGTTTTTCCCTCAGACACGCCTGCCATGTGGCGGCTGGAATCATTTGTTGTTAAGCTTTCATGGCTCAATGTAGTGCGTTGCATCGTGACGAAGCGTCTTCGCTTGCAAGCCATAGGAGGCCCGTGATCCGACGAACCTCTTAACGTAGATTTGTTCTAAGCATTTTATTAATCCTAGTTAGTGAGTGGCTTTCTTTGCGTCGAATGTTGGAATCGCGAACTTCCTCATTTGTTCGGCATGCATTGAGGTTTCCTCTGTATTAGATGCGCTGTTCACCGTCCCTTTTCTGAATGTCCTGGACAGGAACTGAATTTATTCTTAGCTCCCTGTTAAGCTTTCCGCATGCCATTTTCTCCTTCCAGTGGAACACCCTGAGTTTTCTTAGCTAGACTGCACTTCGCATCTAGTCAGTTCGCATCACCATTACTGTGCCCCTCTGCTAGGGGCTACGGACAGCAAGGACCGTTGTAGCCCTGTTGACATCAAAAAAAGAGACGACAAAGAGCAAGGGCAGTTTCTATATGCTAAAACGCCTAGTTCTCATATGAAATTTGCTTCAAAGTAGTAACAGGTGTTTCAGACGGGCTTCAACTAGTGCACCAACTGCATGCTTTGTGGTGTCGTTTGTTTGTCTTCTGAACGTTTTCTAGGTGTTGCTTTTCTTTGTTTCCACGTTTTTACCCATAATGATATTCTCTGTTTCCCTGGTTTTTCCCGTCGCATGTTCTTCCCCCATGTTCTGTAGCACAAGGAAACGAACAAGCTGCTTTGTTACAGTTGTGAATTAACGTGTTTCGATATTGCTTATCACTTCGGGTGACTTCTGTAGATGACCCTTGCAACGGCGGCCCTTGGTTGCGGTTCAGCAAGAGACAATCCATAGCAGCCGGCATTTGCCTGTTTGCCCCTTCCCTTCCGCTTCGCAGTTTCTCTGCTGGAGCAAGAGTTGCCTATTAGGAATTTACTCACTATTTTGGTTTAGTCTGGAAAAAATGACAGATGGTTCCAACCTTTTTACAAGCTTGCAGTGCAGCCTGCTGGTTAGAGCGTTGCACACTGGGTGTGTGACATCAGGAAGACGAAACGCTCCCGCGATGCGTGGCCCAATTCAACAACTGTAGAAACTGATGCCTTTTCACCTATCGGAGAACACAGGCTTTTAAAACGCTCGTGTCACTTCCAGTTTGAGAGCAGATGCTTCTCGTACAAGGCCTTTATGTCTGCAGCGTGGCCCAGCATCGCTGCAAAAGGTTGACGACTTCTTCGTAACCATCATATGATTCGAGGTGCCCATTGGTGCTTTGGAGGACAATTGACTAGAACTCAGTCATTTGGAGTTAATTGCGTCGCTTGTCTTGCAGGGAATTCGGCTTGTCCGCTGAGGGAAGCTCTCGTTTCTTCTCTCCAAACTTGTTTCAGCGCTGTGGAGTATTTTGCGCATCTAGATGAAATTGTAGGAACGAAAATCTTTAGATAAGCAACATTCTACGTAATGCCACCTGAGGGTGGATTGACACGGCTTGCGTTGGATATCGCTGCCACTCTTCCTCTGACTCATTCACGATCCTTCTTTGATTTCGATTCAGTTTAAAATTTGTCCAGTCGTGAAGGCACCGGCAGCGGTGAAGTCCCAGTTCTACGCAGAAGAGTGGAGACCGTATCATTCGTACTTCGAAAATGAGAAACACCAGAATATGCAGGGATACGCCATAGTGCTACGAGTTTTACTATCGTCCGCTTTTACTGCTGCAACTACACTGACTGCCGCTATTTTTGTTTTAGAACCAGCTGTAAGCGGCATGTGCTCTACCAAAATGTGACGCAACTGCTTTGCTTAGTGCCGTTTTGGAGCCGATGTATGTCGTGGTAAGAAAGGAGTTTATCCATCGGCTTCAAGTGTTTCCTAAGGTCCTTGTAGATGCTCTTACACTCGATCTGTTGGTTTCCGCTCCATACGCGTCCCACAGCGTTCCATATGCAATTGTAATACGATTAAGCACGAAAGCTTTACCTACATTTTCGAAACCACTGTCTCCAGACGACCTGAGCAGAGTTTGGCCTTTGCAGACCCGTCCGAGCCTCGAATCTCGACCCACTGCGCAGCCGTCTGTGGAAAGAATATTATTAGTTTTGTTAACTTCTCAAACGTCAAGGAACGCAAAGCTAGCGGTCCAACGAATGGCTGATCTCCAGCAACTTGCTTAAAATTTTGGGCCTGTCTGAACCTTTCGAGACCGTCCGCCAACCACGAAAGTCATAAGCAGGTGGTAAGCCTCTTGAGAAAAACTCGATTTATCGGCAAAGATACATGGTTCCTCCGGCCTTTAAGGGCGAGCGTACTGCTACATGCAGTGCTATAACGGGATGGCGCTGGAGCAGAAACATCCCACAAAATTAAACTTGCTTATTTTGGCAATAGGCGAATTCTAGGTAGGGCGCATCGTTGAGTGGAGCAATATTTACATTGAATAGTACGAGATTTACAGACTGCACGGATGCGAACAAAAGCTGCACGCTGTAAAAGTGAAAGCCTTCACGACCAGATCGTGGCTGTCCTTTACTGGTAGAGATGTGCTCTGACGAGTACTGCACTTTCCATGTGACAAAGAGTGCGTCAATGTATCCACATGAGGAAGTTCTGTTTCCTGTTGTATTCTAATACGCCAGATTGATAGAAACACAAGGCACCCATTGGAAAAGCAAATGTAGGTGCACTGAGTACTCTGCTAGCTAGAAAAGCAATTGAAAAGGCTACGATACTACGCGATGTCATCACTTAGCACACACTGAGCGCGACCGTGTGAGGCGAACAACATACAAGGAAAATTCGTCCCCGGCAGTACGCGAGAGACACATGAAAATAGAAGAGCTGCGATTGGGCATAACAGGGCTAAGGCCCTCTCCCTGGTACTGAAACGAACAGGAGGGTAAGCAACTGCACTAAACAGCGTCCTAAGCAAAGCGGTCAACAGCAGCTCTCGTTCCGTAGCAATAATAATAGACAAACTGGCGCGGTACTTAGCTGAGACCAAGCATTCGAATCCATGTTCCACTATCATTTGTGGATCGCGAGAAAGAGTGAATAGACAGAACTGCCTGCATCGAGCCTAGAGCCCTAGAGCCTCTAGGCGAATGTCAGGTGAACTGGAAAGAATATTCTTTTCCGTCGTGCTCATTTTGTAGTTTGCTGTTCTAGCTTCATCTGAAATAAGAAAAATTCCCTTTTCAGTCGTGCACATCGTCAAACAGGTTTTGGACTTCTACACGGTGCCATTGATACAGACTCTCCCAGTGACTGCCTCAACAAACGTACGTGCGGACCTGACTGCCTCAACAAACGTACGTGCGGACCTCTTGAACATTGCCCTAGACCTCTACGCGAGTGGCATCTGAACTGAAAAGGATACATTTTCCCGTCTCGCTCATTCTCTAGTTTTCTGTTTCAGCTTCAACTGAACTTGGAAAAATTTCCCCTGTTCAGTCGCGTGTAACATCCAGCAGGTTCTGGAGCTCTATAAGGTGCCACTGATACGGACTGTCCGAGTGGCTACGTGCTGAGAGGCAAGTAAGCCAATCTTCAGAAAACAGTGGATCATTCACATTCAGACTGGTGTATTGCGTTAGTGTCTACTTGACTGCATTGGCGAATCAGATCGATGCTCTACGCCTGGGGCTGCCTGGGGGCATACTGTACATACTGTACATACTTCCGGCTTTTTTCATCTTTTCCTTTACACTACGTTGTTTATAATTTTTCTTTTTTAATCGGCATCTAATTTCTATGCTGGGGACGGCAAATTTACTGCAACACTGAACAGCATTATGCATTTGATCCGTGCCCCATAGCTTGGACTGTGCGTTGCCAAACTGCGCACCCTGCTTTCTGTTACGAGAGCAGTTTACCTGGCAAACGGTCTTTCAAGGATTCTGGTACATGTAGGGCGCCAACAGTACGAAATCACTCTGCGGAACATGTCCCGGGCGTCAATTCCACCGGCGAGCTTCATTTCACCGCCCACGAGACACGACTTCGGAGACATTTCGGTCTTCTTGCAGCTTACACAACATGGGGGAGCTTTACACTCGTCTTCCGGAGTATCTCGAAGCCGCCCTCGATCGGTGGGCGTCGCCTTTCACAAAGCACGAGTAGTGCTACTTTCCGTGTTAGCAGCTATTGCCATCACCCTCGGTTGCTTCCGTGCCTTCTATGGGTGGGCAGGAAACAGAGCTGCGCTTCGACAACTGGCAGCTAGTTTCCCTGGGACAAATGAAGACCCAGAACTATCCGCCATACTCGACATGTGCTTGGACATGGAAGAGGAAAGGGGCAGCTCAAATCAGGTAGGTATGTTTTCGCCCCAACAAGGTCATGTCCCTTCCCCTGGCATTCCACCGGCAAGTCGACTCCATCAGCGTCCCCTCCAGGAGTGGGATGTCCCAGAGCAAGCACAATGGTTGACCAACACAGTGAAAGTGGCAGATGACGGCCCTGCTGTGGAGGGGCTCCAGTATTCATTGACAATTTCCATGAGCGAGGCCCCTGAAGGTAGCTTTTCTACCGCAGGGACACACACTCAGTCACATGTTCCTTCATGGGCAGGCAGTTCGGCTTCATCATTTGATGTTGCGTTGAAATCGTCGGTTGATCTTGCCAAAGATGCACACGCCGGCGAAGACACAGCCCTTGACACCTCGAGTCGCGTAATTTTTGAAGCGCACTCAGAGGCTGAGCAGCACCCTTCATTTGGGGTAACTCAACCTATTTCGGATTATGCGCATCAAGCATTAGCCAATACAGGTTCATCACGGAAGAGACGCTTTGATGAAGCTGATCTGAGCGATCTGCAGAGCCCAGTGGCTCATCAGGAGGGAGTAGAGGAAAGAAAAGAAAGAGGGAATGCGCCAGCACCGCACGGCGAAGTCCTTGAAGTTACAAAGGAATCTTCAGGATTTGGTGGTCCACTGCGTGATATTGCCCCTGGAGAGTTGCTAAAATCCGTAGTATTTGGTAGCTATGATGTACAAGGCGATAAACGCGCGGGTCGGTCGGCGTTGCGGGGAACTGACTGTGGGGAAAATAATACAGGAGTTTCGTCTGACCGCCGGCCTTCTGAAGGGACGGACTCAGAATCGGAGGACTCGGAGGCGGTTTTCGCTAGGCATCCTTTTTATAAACTTCCGAAACTGGCACCATTTCTTGAAACGAATCTCTTCTGTGAAGACTCAGCATTTTCCCGGGGCTGTTTGAGTGGGCATACGTCGTTGCTGTTAATGAGCATCCGCTCAGTCTTTAAAGCGGAATGGGTCACCGAGGCGAAAGCAAGGAAGCTTGCTTGGGACGTTGAACGCTTAGTTTGCAACTTATATTATCTCCAACGTGAGCCTGTGTCGCATTACATCGTCTCTAGAGCTGTTATATTTTTGGGGCAGCGGTTCCTTTTGTTAGATGCGCTTGTCAGCGCCTTGAGCGTTTTGAGTCCGGTGGTGAATGCATCTGCGTGGTGGTCCAAGTTGGTTACTGTGATTCCATCAGAAGTACCGTTTAACAGTGGTCACACGAGTTTTGAAAGGACAAGACAATATGAAGATCTAGCTAACCGGCTAATCAGAGCAATAGATTGCTTGAAGAACGGCACTCGACTTGGAGCAAAGGAGACCGTCGAGCTGAAGCGAGATCTTCTTTGCAGAGAGCTCTCTCCTCCTTGGTTTAGGAAGGGCCGGTGGAAATATTGGCGAATGGATGACGAAATAGAGTTGAACTCTTCCAAAAAGTTGTCCTGCGGCAGGCCAGCACCTACACGAGTAAGCGACAGCAGTTGGTCGCAGTAAATTTGCAGGTATTGAGAACTGCTTCGCTTTACTGAAGGTTGCCCCAAGAGTAATCAAACTGTGGATGACGATTAGCAGGGAAAACACTGTCCACGCCTTTCGTGGGTGCAAGCGCCTTTCCGTGTTTTGTTTGCACGGCTAGTGGTTGAAGTGCTTTATTTGAGGTGGAGGACAGTTCTTGCGCACTCACGGACAAATTCCATTGGACTGCCCGCGAATGGAGTGTTGATCTTTTGCGACTTGCTACAGACTACCGGCGATGCACGACCACAGCCATCATATCTGTGGTGCATTTAAGCAGCGCGCTTGCTCATGAGACATTCGTGGTCATCGCAGTTAGCTTGAGTAAATGGTGCGAAGAACCTTCTACTTGTGGGTCTAAATGAAGTTACAGGCTGCCTTCTGTGTCAGTATAACTTGTCGAAGGCTGAGTTGTATCCATGGTAGCTACTGTGGATGAAGTGCATGAGGAATCCAAATACGTTGCTTAACGGGGGACACATCGACAAAGGTAACACTGTTAGACGTTTGCAGTATCAGGCACAAGTCAACTGTTACGTGAAGTCGAAAAGGCAGAGTGTGGGCTGCTCGGTGCTGTGGATTAAGCTCCCCCTACAGATGTCGGTGCTGGATCAGCACCTGAGATGGCTGTGCAACGCAAGCAACTTCGCAGTTCGAGAGCCGCGCTGAAGCCCAGGAAGCTGGGCGGAATTTATGCACAGATGCTAAGCGCAGGCTACTTTACTTTATTTCGGGGAAGGCCTCTGAGCTCATATAGGTCGACCAGTCTCTTCGATGTGGAGATTGAGCCTGTTGCTCAGGCTTGCTGCGGGTACAATCCCCACAAAGTGCAGTGGACAGTGCATCCATTGTGTCTGTCATTGCCTTTTTCACTGTCACGCGTAATTGGGATGTACCAGTTGGCTCTACGTCTCTTTGGCTGAAGGTCTGCGCTGGCTCTTTACATGAATGCTGCCCCGAAGGAAAGATATACCGGTACTTGAAAGCTACGAATTAGTGAAGGACAAATCTCAATCCAGCACTTCGTGTTCTTAGGTTTTCAGGCCCTGCACGCATGTTGTTCTCAGGCTTTTAGGCACTGTATGCACCAGTCAGACTGGGGAGTTGTCCCCATCCTAATCTCGCACTACAGGCATAGTGAGGGAGGAGCTGATACAATACATTCTCTGTAGGTTTTTAGGCACTGTACGCATGCTGTTTTTAGGCTTTTAGGCACTGTATACACCAGTTACGCTGGGGAGTTGTCCCCATCCTAATCTCGCGCTACAGGCCTAGTGAGGGAAGAGCTGATACACTTTTTGTGGTAAATGGCCTACCTTGGTGTCCTGGTAGTGCCACAAGCAACAGTTCCTGGACGGCGAAGTGGGATCACAGCTCCGCAACTTGGCCAGGCCGTGGAGAGGCCGCCTACATCGGTGTGTCCTGCCAACCACGGCCTGGCAATGTCCAATGCAGACCCACCTTTCTTAGTGCATTCTACGCCCAAGGATTGAAGGATAAATACCGAATCCTGAATTGGGTTGGAGCCTGTTGCAAGGATAATGTAGCAGACTACGAAAGATGCACTGGCCACGCTGCCTATTTCAACAGCTCGGGAAACAGAGGAGCTTGAATTTCGCGGTCCACAATCATCAATCCCACGGTAAGGGATCTCCTCCACAGTTCATATGTGCGCTCTACCGAAGCATTCATGTAACACAGGTGACGGAAGTACACAATGTTTCTGCTTATACGTTTTTGGCTGTACACCATTTCGTTTGTTCGCAGAAAAGTACCATATGCTCCAAGCCAGCATGTAGTAGGTACAAAAGGACCTTAGGCTCGTAATTTCTCTTTCCAAACAATAGCATGCGCAGCCGGACGCAAAACATCCGTTTTAAGGAGGCACCAAAGCAGTTCTGTAGGAACAAAGAGTGCAAAGTCTTGACACACGAACGAAATGACAATCTCAGTACTCCCTACTCAAATATGAGGCCAAGCCTCGGAAGACAAAATCTCAGATGTGCTCTTTCCCGCTACTTGTATGAATGCACTTGCAATACTCAAGTAGGACTCGACAGTCGACGAAGCAAATAAACGCAAGCAAACAATTTCCTTCATATTGAACAACAATTCTCCTCCTAAATTAGTTAAGAACAGGACATCGTGCAATTCATTATTCCAGAGGAGTTCCCTGTGCTTAAGCGGCAAAACTTCTCTATCGAGACCTCAGAGGAGCCAGCAGGGATGAAGCGAATGCCGTCTACAGATGGCGGCATATTTAGGGGAGTGGCGAGCGGCTACTGCAAAGAAGGAGACATCCAAAATCCTTACAAAGAGCGCATATACTGCATCTGCAGCAGCGACAGCAACAAATGGCCCCATCATCAACAGACGCCCCCACATGTAGAAGAAATGTGCTTATTTTGTCCGCCCTTTCCCCAGCGCTTTTGCAGCCATACGACAGTAGAGTGGTGTGAAGGCATCACACAAACTTCCTTGGTAATGCTACAGAATTTCGGCGTGTGTTATTCAAGAACGCGGAAATGCGCGTGCTTTGAAATCGGAGACTTCTATTTTGGCGCTGTTTCGTTTGCTCTAGATTTCCTGAAGCCTATGCACTTCAACAAGCAAAGATATTATTATGGCTGCCTATTACCTCGCTAGGCGTGCTTTGATGGTTCTTGGTGGTAGACAGCAGCTTCAGTAGCCGGCTGCGATTGCTGTTACTGATTCTATTGCCTCAAAGCATATTGCCTCAAAGGCATCACAACATAATGTTCATCCTGGAACGAAATAGCTGTCTTAAGTGTTCAGTGACAACCGTGTTGGCCGATTACAGAACCCCAGAAATTTCTTTCCAAAAGCCAAACGACCCCCAAGTACTCGCGGGAGTCCGTAGGCAAGGCTGTGATTCCCGTCGATGCACAGGAATTCGGAGCTTGAATGAATAAGTCTTCTGGAATGAGAATATGCTAATGAAAATTCTCAAAAATCCGAACTTATTCGTCCTCTGCCGAAAGTTTTGCTCGTCTCGTTGCTAGTTCCGAATGCTGAGAAGACCCTCTTGCCCTGCTATCCTCTCCATCTAGCTCCTGCAATCGGCTGGAGTTATTTTCGCCTCCTCTACTCCTCTCCTTTTTTCCATCCCTCAGAAGAATGGAATCAATGGCAGCCAGACGTTCCAGCAAGGGCGGATGGCTGTAGTGCCACCAAGAGTACCTGCACATCAGTTCCACCCCGCAAGAAACAAGGTAGCTGCCTGAAGACAATAGCCGCAAAGACATTCTGCTGTTTCATGCTTCTTTGTTACAAATAAAATACGAACGAGAACAGAAATCATGAGGTGTGCTGATGCCTCTTAGGTGCTCTACTGAGAACTGACCAGGGATCAGGGTCCAGTGTGGACTTGTTTTCTGTGTGAACTGTGCACAGGGCCTCCTTCAATTGCTCCCCATAGTGGAGCTGGCAGGCGAAAGCGTCTGCTTGGAATTCATGTTTGCGAGAGAGCAGAGTAGAAAACACTGACAAAACAGTGTTCACCTGCAAAATACCCCATGATAGAAGAGAAAGAGGTAAAAATAATATGAAAAATCGGACAGAGGTACCCACGGAGGTTGGGGAGGATGTGCCAACGCGAACTGAGATACAAGTGAGACTGAGCCGCAGCCGTCCCTCCCCGTTAATGAAGACAGGCAGCATCAAAGCGTACGTACCGGAGCGAGCACATTGGCAAGGAGCATGAGACCAATGATGGGGGACTTGGCATCTGCCCCGTAGCCGAAGCACTTGTAGAGGTGGTCGTTGTTCATTACTTTTCCATAGAGATAAAACGTAACGAATAGATTCATGAACACTAGAAGCAAACGCTGCATGAAGTGATTCATTTGCCAATGACCCAACTCATGGCCTGCGCATGGTAAGCACAGTGTCCTCCACATCGTGAGCGTAAATTGGAATGCAGAGCAAAACGTTGACGCCGGCAACGAATACTAAAGAGGAAAACAGCGTGTTGATGGACATTAAACGTAGTGTTACCTAGGCAGAAGTGCACACGGCGTCAGCAGCCTTGACGCCAGCATGAAGTAGTATTTTCAACAACGTAATGATGCACCCGTGTGCCCCTGCAAAGTTGACGTGTTCAGGCCTACTTTGAAACCGGGTCCACCCCAGCTACGATACTAAAGGCTGCACGTGCTTCTACGCAAATTTCACGTATCACTCAAAAAACTTCACATTGCACAATTAGAAAGTCTGAAAGGAGCGCAAGAGCAGCGGCAGCCCCAGAACAGCTAAGCTTGCAGCTCAACCAATAGCAGAGCTTACCAAGAATAGCAAGGATTTGGTCATGGGGCAGGTGCAGCAAGGTATCGAATATGACAATGCGCTTCCACCGCCAAAAACCATAGAAGTATGCGTTGCTATGGCTTGAACGCTTAGACCCATCCATTTCGTAAACTTCACAGAGAGGAAAATTCAGTTGCTCAGCCTGGGGCAATTCAAACGACTCAAAAGCACGAACACACCAGATAAGCAATAAGCAGACTGGACTAAGTCCTAGCGGCCTGCACGACGCATCAAATATTCTGCAGGGCTTCTTCGGTTGGAGTTGCTAGCAAACATCTAGTATGCATCATACGGCAGTTGCCCCTAATTGGCTGGAACGTTGAGATCCACTTCATGAGTAAGGGGCTTTCTAAGGTTCCTGCAGCTCTTACCAATGCATCAATTTTGGACCGTAGTTCTCTGTCTCCCAATACTTTAAATTTGTTAAAAAGAGGTGCGATGAAATTTGGGTATATTACGATCATTCCGAATGTCGTCAGAACAGAGAAGCCCCAAAGCTGAAGCAGCAATTGAGAGAAAAAGCCTTTAAGACGCAGATGAAACATCCTCTCGAAGTCGACGCAGGCATCCAACAAAGATGACTGACAGGTATACGATGGATTCATGCAAATACATACAAAAATAATAAGGCAGGGTGTATGCTCACCCAGAAA